ATGTAGATTCAAGAGAACAATTTCCATTAGTTTCTTCTCCTGCTGTGGAAATGGAATGTGGCTTATTCATTTATGGAAAACTTGTATAGGTTTACTATGTGCCACTCAGAGCTTTAAAAATATTCAGTTTTTATTTATTTATTTATTTGTTGGTTTATTTATTCTTGTAGTGCTGGGAATTGAACCCAGGGCCTTGTGGATGGAAGGCAAGCACTCTACAAACTGAGCTATATTCCCAGAACTATATTCAGTCTTTTAAAGCCTCATCTCTACTTCGTGAGTAGACAGTACTCTTACCATCATTTTGTAATGAGGAAACAAGGCAAGAAAGATTCAGTTACTTGTCCAACATCACCACAGTAAGGGCTGAAGCTGGGATTCTTATTCAGGCCTATGGCTAAAGAATCTGTTCTCTAAATACCATGCAACGGGTGTGAAAGAAATTTGGCAATTCACTAAATACTTGTACATATAGCGGCTCTCGTGGTTAACAGGCATCCGGGAAAAGGATAAATAGATTCATGTCTAGTTCTTTGACACGAAAAAGTCATCCAAGAGAAAAATAGCCACCAGAAGATATTAAACTGTTGGGATGGTCATTTCTATATTTTCTAAAACCTTTCTGTTAGGAAGTAAACAGATAAAAATTTCCTTTCAAACTAGTTGTTTTATATATAAAAACAGGTAAATTTAGTATGGACATCACTGTGTACTTTCAGACTAGTTACTTAGAACAGGAATGAAGTTTAAGAGTGTGACTACTCTTAAAAACACGCTCAAAAAAAGACAAACACTAGCTTCTAAGTCATTGATTCTATTACTATTTTAGATGTAAAGAAAATCACAGAGCTTTCCACGTTCCAGAAATGAAGTAAGCATCTGGCCACGGGAGAGTCGCTGTACTCCAGTTTGGAAATAAAGGGCATGTGTTTGGTAACAGTTTCTTCAAAAGAATTACAGAAAAGACAGCGATGATTTAGAAACTATCCTCTAAGGAAATTTATCATGCTCTTTGCAGGAGACAAAACAGCCTTCAATTTTGTATGCAAATTCTTGTCAGCAAGTACATTATGGTGTAATAGACAATATATGATCATGCTATGAAATTGTTTTTGTTTGGATTTTTTGTTTGTTTGTTTGTTTTGTTTTGACATTGGTAAAGATATTCTTGATTTGGTTTTCTTCAGATCCAGGCAGGCACATTATTAGTGTGAAGACTTATTTACTTACCTGAGTGCTATAGGTACAAAACTTTTTGTCTTTGACCAGAGAAAACCACATTGCCTTTTTGTTACTTGCTTTGTGTCACAGGACAGACCTCCTTTTATATGAACTGTTTTGCAAAGTGAGTTATTAGTCATTCTAATCCCATTTATGTAATAATTTATCATGAACCTACTATCTTATATTGTGGATCCTAGACCTACTATTGTATTTCACTGACCTATATATGTATTGACAAGGAATAGATCTTTTAAAAATATTATAGATTTCTAACCTTTGTATATTTGCTAAAACAGATTGGCGTTTGTCTTAGTCTTCTTACACTGCCATAACACAAAACCATAGACTAAGGGTTTAAAAAAAACACATTTATTCTCTCACAGTTTGTTTTAATCAGCTCTCTTGTTGCTGTGACCAAAAAGACCTCAAAAAAGCAATCAGAGGGAGAAAAGTTTATTTGGGGGTTCATTGTTTCAGAGGTCTCAGTCCATAGACTGCTGGCTCCATTTCTTGGGCCATAAAGTGAGGCAGAACATCAAGGCAGAAGTGTGGGGGAGAAAAGTGGCTCAGGACATGGCAAGGAAGCAGAGAGAGCTTGTTCTCAACAAGAACAAAATATATACCCCAAAGGCAGTCCCTAGGGACCCACCTCCTCCAGCCACACTCTACCTTCCTGCAGTTACCACCCAGTTAATCCTTGTCAGGGGATTAATTCAGCGACTGGATGAAGGCTCTCATAACCCAATCATTTAACCTCTAAACCTTGCCTGTCTTACACATGAGCTTTTGAGTGACACCTCACATCTAAACCATAACACTGTTCCAGAGAGTGGGAAGTCATCAAGGTCTAGCAGTGCTTAGTCTCTGGTAAGGGTATTTTCCAGGGTGCAGGCAATCACATTCTCATGTGACCCTCACTTGCAGGGGAAAGTAGGCTCTCTGTTGTCTCTACCTAAAAGAAAATTAATCCCATCAGGATGGAGCCTCACGATCTCTTCATCTACCTCTAAATCTTAACACGCCTCAACAAGACTCCTAAAGTACAAGAAGTAAAATCAATAATCGATAAATGAGATGGTATCAAACTAAAAACTAAAAAGCTTCTTCACAGCAAAGCAAACAATCAAGAACATGAAGAGAGAGCCTACAGAATAGGAGAAAATCTTTGCCAGCTGCACCTCAGATAGAGCATTAATTTCCAGGATATACAAAGATCTCAGAAAACTTAACACCAAAAAACAAATAACACAATCAACAAATGAGCAAAGGAACTGAACAGGCACTCACAGAAGAAGAAATAATAATGGTCAACAAATACATGAAAACATGTTCAATATATCTAACAATTAAATAAATGCAAATTAAAACTACACTGAGATTCCATTTCACTCCAATCAGAATGGCAATACAAGCAATAATAAGTACTGATGAGGATGTGGGGGGAAAGGTAAACTTATACATTTTGCTGGGTGGAACTGCAAACGGGTGCAACAACTCTGGAAATCTGTATGGCGATTCCTCAGAAAACTTAGAATGGAACCACCAGTTGACCCAGTTATGCCCTCCTCGGTATATATCCAAACGACTTAAAATTATCATACTACAGTGATGCAGCCACATCTATGTTTATAGCAGCTCAATTCACAATAGCTAAACTATGAAACCAACCTTGGTACCCTTCAATAGAAGAATGGCTAAAGAAAATGTAGTATAAATGCACAATGGAATATTACTCAGCAAAAGAAGAATGAAATTATGGCATTTGCTGGTAAAGGGATGGAACTGGAGACTATCGTGCTAAGTGAAATAAGCCAATCACCCCAAAATCAAAGGTCAAATGTTCTTTCAGATATGCAGATGCTAAAAATAGAAGTTCACTGGATTAGACAAAGAGAAATAAGGGAAGGGAGGGACGATGGGAATAGGAAGACAGTAGAATGAATTGGACATAACTTTCCTATGTGCATATATATGAATACATGACCAGTGAAACTCCACATCAAGTACAACTGCAAGAGTGGAATCCTAATTAGAATAAGTTATATTTTGTGCATGTATAATATGTCAAAGTATACTGTTATGTTTTCTATTCTATTTTTTTATTTTAAAAAGAATTTTTAAAATCCTAACACAAATACAAATAACTCTCAAAGACATCACACTGGGTTTAGAGCTTCAATGTGTGGTTTTGAGATGGAGTGTAATCAGTCAGTTCATAAAAGGGGTAATCTTTTATTTTATTAAAGACAGATTTTTGCTGTTTGTTCATTTCTATGGATGAAATCTAGATTCACAGACTTACCTATGAATGAAGTTGTATTATTATGTTTCTCTTCATATGTTCCCTTTTGGGAACAAGGTCTACTTTATAAACAACTGCATTGTATTGGGGAATATGGACCTCAACTTATTTTTCTGAAATATTTTTATGGTTTTCCACCCCAAGTTTGTTTGAAAGTATTAGAAAAAGATATTTAAATTCAATAATGACATCTCAGGCATAAGTTAAGCCCACCCATAAGATGGTAGGAAATGTATAGTTTTTGCCGCATCTCAAGAAATTCAGTACTCATTCCTGTGTAAATTCTTTTTAGTTTCATAAAAGAAGAAATCTGAATGGTTTTATAGATGAAGAACAAAGAGATACTTTGCTCTCATCCCTACTGGAACATAGGGGTTTACACACAAAATGAAAATGGCAATAACCAGTTTAAAGTAGTACAGGCAACAAGGGCATAATACTGATACTCGAGCTGTAACTCAGTATACTTGGGGTGTATTATTTTGGAATCTTGCGTAAGGAAAAGAGGTTCATTAGCTTCTAACATCGTTGAGTCATGGTTGAAACCATTCGAGTCACTTCATTAAATTTCTCTCCACAAAGATTTTGGCCTGGTTTATTGTGTTTTCCAGACATAATGGGCCTATGGTGGGAATTATAACACTGAGTCATGGACAATGCTGACTATTTTAGCTCACCAAGAGCACATATGAAAGTGTTCACCATGCAGGAGTATGCACAGACTCTAAACTATGTCTGTGGCTTTAAATCTTCTTTTATTAGATGTTATTGCCTTTTCTAAAGGATCCAGGGCTGGAATTCATACTGTTCTCAAGTAGCAAAAAAGAATGCAAACAACACCATAAGATAAAGAAAAACTGGCACTCTCTGTAACATTTTTTTCTTTCTGTACAGTTCCACCAATTAATATATGGAACTGTATTGATGTAAGTGTTGAACAAGCCAAGTCAAATTTATTCTTGCATTAAATATTTTAAAAACACTTAGAAGTCCTTTCCTTTCTGCTTCATGTTTTTGAAACTCTGTAGCAGATGTCTCAGAATCTTTACTAGTGAAAATATTAAGATATTTCTTCAGTGAAAACCAGAGGTAGAGACAGAGAAACAGATTAAAATGTGTCAGAGCAACCTCCAAAAACTCTAAGAGTATAAGTTTCTTTGTTTGTTTATGAAAATATATTTATCCACAGACTGATTCTTCCTTCAACTTAAATACAACCAGAGGTATCAGGCATTCTTTACCTAACTTCAGATTTATAGGACAATAAAATTATCTTATAAGTCAAATTGATTAGTTTGCATACAGTGTTAATTTTATCATTGTTTGTTACAGTAAAAATTGCATCACTCTATGAGTTTAGGTCCATTTTGAGGGCACTGAACTAAAACCATTCGCATCCATCCTTTAATTTTACTTCCCAAGAATATGTGCCTCCTAAAGGATAATAGCATCATAAGAAGTAACTCATTCTTACCAGAACATTGATGGTCACCTGAGCAGTAGCCCTTCTTTGTCTGAAGGGGTCAGGAATGGCATCGTTGTCCAAGTCTACAATCCTCACGGTTATCTTATACTGTGACTCCACTTCCCTGTCTAGTGAATCTAGTAGCTTTATCATGCCTGACACGAAAATAATGGGAAACTTGTTACCCCAGTATTACCAAACATCCTCAATGTACGCTGAATTATGAACTATATAAATGAAATATAATCATTACAATAACAAATGGAAATTAACTAGTACAAAACAATGTAGTTATACATTCATACTTCCAAAGCATAATTTTGCAGCCAAATCACAACAGATGTTATTTCATAGTCTTTTAGTCACATTATTAGGTATATAGGCCATACATGCACACAGACTTTCTGGAGTTCAATATTTCAAAGATCAGAGCATCCATACTTTCCTTATAGTACCTGAGAATTTACAGATACATGTCACACATCAAGGTGAAGACAGCATAATTCAAGAGAGAGTTTATTGAAGATGGTCTAATTCTCACCATTTCTATATAAAATAGATTCCAAATGAGCACATGTGACCTCTTTATTTTTATTACTGATTGATGTTTTTTTACAATACCTGTATCTGGTTCAATGTAAAATTTGGGAGGAGTTCCCACATTGCCTCCAACAATGGTATATTTTAAGTTGTTAAATGGCCAGTCTGCATCTGTAAATGTAATTTTTCCAACTAGTGCATCAACTGGACTATTTTCAAATATACTGAAGGTAACCGATGTAGTTCCAACTGGATTCAGTTCATTTATGCGACTCACTCTTACAATGATTGTAAGAATAGCTATGGAAAAAATACATAAACATCATAGTTAGGGTAATCATGTCTCTAATATTCTTTATTTTCCTTTTCTGTTTTACTAATACCTTAAATATTAAATATTTGGATTACAAAACATATTTATGTTGATGTTTCATTATTAAATTTTACCTTTTAAATTATAGAGCATTTAAAGCTAAATTTAGATTAAAATACTTTATTAACTGCTTTTGAACACCTGTCAAAACAACTGTGTTCTATAGTATGATTATACTAATCATATATTCTAAATTAAAAATCACAGTTTATCATGGACAACATAATGTTCAATGATTGGAATATGATTATATTATTCCATCCTGACAATATAGTCAATAATAAAGGAAATGCAATTTACTCTGAGAATCTGAATATTAGTATTTTATCTAATGCAGAATTTAAAAAAATTATTTGGAAATCTTTCAAATACACAAAGATTACAGAAAAGTTCATCTTTGACATCATCTTCAAATAACTGCAAATTTCTATATGACACATTTGAACATTATTATCTAACCTGGTTCCAGTTTTAATTTAGTCTTCTGGGTTATAAATAGTAGTACATATGCAGTAAATAAGTTAATATAATATCAATCTATATGCTTTAATGCAACAGATCATAGGAAGATTTTAAATATAAAATACTAAGAAAAATACTAGGCATTTTATGTAACTCAAATTATTTAATATTTCAATTTGTTAACTTCTTACTTGAGAGTGCAGGACTTCCTTCATCAGAAACCCTCACAAACAATGTATATTTGAAGTGCATTCCTGCAAAAATAGCATTATCAAAATCTAAATGTGTAGATCCAATCTGTAGGTGAAAAATATGAACAACAATTTTAATTAAACATCTATTTTTCAACTACATGAATCCAAAGCTAAGAGATGTGACAAATAAGTGAAAAATGAGGATGTACACAGTACTGTGCAATAGAAATAGAATATGGGCCACAAGCACAAGTTGCATGTGTGATTTTAACTTTTCTAGGATCCCATTTAAAAATTAAAAACAAGTGAAATTAACTTTAATAAAGATTCTTATTTAATCAAACATATACAAAATACTGTCATATCAACATGTAATAACATCAAAAATATTGGAGATGTTGACATTTGTTTGTTAGTACTAACTCTGTGAAATCCATGACTTATTTCACAATTGCAGCTTATTTTCATTTGAATAAACCACATTTCTGGAATTCCAAGGCATACATAGCTATAGGCTTCTATAAATTTATTTAAATTAATATTATTACATATTTGGGTAGTTTATATTCTTAAGTTATATTGTCAAGTATAATAATAGCAAAACTAGGGTATTATATTTCATGTTCTTTTGTTTTCACTGATTCATTTACTATAGGTTTCCCCATTTCCTACAATATCTTCATAAACACAGATGATCTCCAAATTACTATGGTTAAACTTACAAGAGTTTTACAGTAGTGCCAAAATGATGTGTATTTAGTAGAAATGTACTTCAAGTTTTGAATCTTGATTCCTGGGCTAGTGATTAGTAGTATGATATTCTCTTTTGAGTCTGGGCAATGGCAGTTAACCATAACTCTGTCAGCTACACCCATCATGAGGGGAACCAATCAATTTTCTGCAGTGTTCTATGTTGATAAGCTGTGATGTTCCTTAGGGTCAGTTATTACATGCATTTTCAACTTACAACATTTACAATTTATGATGAGTTTAATCTGAACGTAACCCCATTATAAGTCGAGAAGCATCTGTAGTTACTATGTTATGTATTTAAGATTTGTTAAAAGAAGCTGTCATGACTTTCTTAACATTCTTTCAAAATGAATTAGATCTGGGTTAGTATTAGTGGGAATAATCTCCCAGAAGTAAGCTTTGAATTGCAAGCTTCAAAATCATGCAAAAACAGAACTTGAGACTGACTCTGTGAGAGAGGTCAAAGCATCTCATATTTTTGCTCTTTCCCTTTACTCTCCAGGGAAGGATGTGCAGGGCAGGCATGATGTTTTCAGGATCTTTAACAACGTTAAATGTAAGGGGGAATCTGAGAGTCTTCCCTCCACAGCTCATGCATAATCACACAATCCTCTGGGTGGTCATAGAATAGACTAGTTGTGAGACCATCTAAGGGAAGAGTGGAAATAATATGATTGCATTCTGTGCCTCCAAGCTTTTCTGAGGTCCTTTTCATGCGTCAGCCACATCCACATTAACTATTTTTCAAACCAGTCAGCATTATTAGGCAGGGGAGTTATGTGTAGCAATTAAGTGATTAGTTGGGACAGAAAAGCATAGGTGAAGAGCATTGTTTTCTTAAGATTCTGGGTTTCAAGAATTTGAGAAATGAGGGACTGTAAATAAGTCAAGTGGGAGAAAAAATAATTTATTTGTGCATGAAGAAGAATATTAGGTGGTCTATAAGGTCCTTTTCAATGTTAACATTCTGTAGTCTGCATTCTAAGTGGCCAAAGGAAGGTAACATAAAGAACGGCAATGGCACTGAACCAAGTATCAGTCAGAAAGTTAGTAGTTCACCCTGGTAATTGTCCTCCAAAATTACTACATGCTTTTTCTCACCCTGTTTATACTATGGCAATGTGGAAAATAGAAATAAATTGAACATTGAGAAAAACTACAACTACTATAAGAAGATAATCAAAGGCACACACAAATAAATATGGATAAATAAATATAACATGGCAGAGCCCTACAGAAATGTTACTGGGAGAGTTAATATTCCAAATGGTAAAAAAAAAGTTAATTGACTCCTTGCTAACTTCCAAACCACAAAATTAATGCCTGTTTTTCCAACAATTTAGGTATGAAGGTCATTGGTTAAAATATTTATAGGAAAATATCCTATATCATATTATGCTTGAATACATCATACAAATCAATAAGGAAAATAAAGCAATAATGGATAAATACATGTTCATCCTGTTCATACAAGTACCCTGTCCAAATACTTGCTGTTTATTCACACAATGGTGAATATATAAAAAGATCTACAATCTTATTACCAAACAAGCTAAACATCGTAATATGTATGAGAATACCAGATATTGAAATAAGGCACTGAAGAAGAACCATGCTTAAACATTGCTGATGAGAGTTCAAGCTGATACAACCAACCAATATGGAAAACAACTTGACACTACTTCATGTAATTAAATGATATAACCTAGAGTACATGTTGCATGAAAGAACCAAAGGAAATGCATAATAATATTCATAATAATATTACACATAATAAGCAAAAAATAGAAGGAACTTCAAACTTGCATTTTTGGGAGAAAGACTAGAATCACCCAATAGAATATTAAAGAATAATATGGAACATTATAATAATCATATTGATTGATATGACCCATATAGAGACAGTCATTAGAAGCACAACATAAATATCAAGTTATGAATCTGCATATATTATATAATTTCTTTTAAAGCTTTTCAATATAGTTCAGGAATACATACATGGTTGATAAAACTAAATTCCTCAAGGTAGTAACAAACACAAAATTCAATATACCTATTTTCTCAGGAAGACAAGTGACAGGGCTCCCTGGCTACTAAGCTATGCTGCCGGCCTATGGGTCCCTGCCCAGAACTGGCAAAGGAGTAGTGGAGCTGAAAAGTGGCAGCCCAGATGGGTGGGGCTGAAGGAGTAAGCCCTGCCCCCCACCACACAGGTGTGGTGGGCCTGAGGCACTGTGAGGCAAGGCTTGCCAAACTATCATCCTTCAGCCAGGCCTGGGCATAATACTGGTACCCTGCTTCAGGAGCCTACTCCACACAGTACTGCTGCCCAGAACCTGCAAACATGGAACACCCCAGAACCTCAACCTGTGGCTTCCTGACTGGTGGCAAGAAAATGGAAGGGAGGCTGACCTGAATGGAAATCGGGGCTCAAGAGCTGACCAATAGCATTTGTGATTCCAAACCTTAATTAGCATCAACTTAGACCAATTACATTGGTACTCTTTTCAAACCATAATTAACATAAATTTGGACCAATAGCAGTGGCCCAAAAGCTATATAAACACCTAAACTAGTACAGTTGGAGGGAGAAAACCTGCTTTCAGGTCCTTTCCAGCACTGCTGGAGTTCTGTTCCTAACTATCAGTTAAATCCTGCTCTTACACTCACTCATTCTGGTCTGAGGCTTTCACAAGACAAGAACCCAGAAAGAAGAAGAAATTGAAGGTAAGTCTCTGGGGTCTGCTGCAACATTGGAGGGCATGGCCTGATATTAAGAGCTGCAACACTTCTTGGCTGCAGAGGCCCGCAATCTTAGCAGACCCCATCCACCACCTGCCAGAGAATGAGTTTCCTCTCAAAACTCCAGTTTCACAAGGAGAAGGGTGGGAACAGGTAAATTGGTGTTAGTGATTTTGTAATTCTGAAGTGCAGGGATGGATTCAGTGATTCATTTCATTACTGTGCTGCATAATTTGCAAATCTGTTAATTATGTTATCTTAAAAATATCAGATCATCCTTAGACAATAGTAATTAAGAATGGAATGACTAACAAAATACATAGGATGGGGTGATTTTTTCACATCAATGTCCATTAAAGAGAAATAACCTAATAAAATACAAGACTAACAATACTGACTTAGAGAAATATTCATTTCATTACCTTACTTAAAATTTAAATCTATTGCATATGAAATCATTTGGATTAATTAAATAGTAATTCACTGTTAAACATTAAAATTATACATTTATTCCTGGTATCCTGGTGAAAATCATTCCTTAATTAATTGAGATAACTTTAAGTTAATATACACTAATCTACTAGAGCTGTAATCATTATTTTAAAATAAAGTTTTGATGTTTATTATAAGTCCACATTTTGAATGACTGCTAGAGCTGTTTCTCCTCTTAATATAATACACATGCCAAAGGATGGTAAAAAGAACTAATCACCTCTACATTTACATTTTAAAAAAATTCAAGTTCTAGATTGTAGTCTTTTGTGAGTTTAAAACTTAAGCATTTTTGGAAAACTAAATAGGTTTTCTTTCTATATTCTGCTAATAAATGTTTAATTCACTAAGCATTAAAATTGTATTTCTTTTTACAAACTGGCTTTTCTTCCCTTGCTGCTATAGCAAGATTAGCATGTAACCATCTTAATAACCCTTTTTGAATTTAATATCCCATTTAAGAAAATTGCAATTATATTCAATCCAGTCATATAGTAATTGGGAGAAAAAGATAAAGGGGTTATATCACATATCAGTAAGTTAATTGAAGTTCATATTCTACAATCTCCAGGGATAGGTAGGGGAATCAATGGTTTTCATTCTGTGAATATTGAGACTGGATTTATGTTTAGTCAAAATTAGAGTATATCCAATACAATAATTTTGCTATTGTTTATTTGTATAATTTTGGTTGTTTTGTTTCATTTTTGTTAGAGTTGTCCAAATAGGAAGAATTCAAAGATATATTACATAGTGCCATGATTTTTACCTTCCTAATTGAGAATATTTTGATACCACATTATTTTTCATTATTATCAGGATATGTATATGTATGTGTATGTATGTATATATATATATATACATATACATATGTATATATATATATAATATAGTTTATATGAATCTATTTTAATATTCTGGTCATATCAGCAATATCTTCTTACTACAAAGAATTGTGAAAAGGTAACCTTGATGCACTTGGCAGTAATTTGTTACTAAATCCTGTCAATGGCTTAAAAATGATTTGAAATTTCAATTTTGTTTATTTATGATTCATTAATGCAGTCTTGATTAATATGTATCCAACCAGCACCAAATATGTCATACTCCTAGTTTAATAACAAACTTTCTTCTTTTACTCTAATTGGGAAAACAGAGGTGAAATATGTGATTAGTGCCAAGGTTAGAGAGCTATAAAATGCTGTGAGAAGCCAAGGAGAGGCACCTCATCCAAACATGAAAGAGAAGAAACATCAGGGATGGCTTCCTAAAAGAAATGTTAATGCAAATTATGAAGGTTGTGCAAAAGGGGACATGGGAAATGGGGACACAAAAAAAAGCTAGGATGGATTTTGAACAGCATTAAGATTGAAAGGCAGAACTGAAAGACATCACAGTATTTTAATGTCATGAAAATTATTCTCTGCCTAAATCACAGTGTGGGACAGCAAGTGGTAAAGATATAGGGGTTGGTTTGAAATGCATCTTGGGTAGAAGTTCAATTTCAATGAAATCAGTATAAAAACTAAGTGAAAAAGTACTTCTTACTTATATTTCACTCATCCAGTCCATGTTGTGTTGTTCATAAGCTAATTGTTCAGATAAGCAACATTTTTTATCACTGTGTTGAACACAGTACATAATTTAATTTCCTGTTTTTTTAAAAAATATATGATATAGCAACATGTAGAATGACTTTATCCTCAAAACTTACAGGAAATAAAATCTATATTTCCCCAATTGGTAAAATATTTTAGCTACTGCATATTCCAAGATATAGCAATAAGTATGCACAATTATTCTAATTATATACCAACCTCACTAGTTATTTAATATATTTATTATATATTTATTAATATATATATATATATATATATATATCTCCAACATAATATATCCAAAACAACCCAAAGGAGTAGACAGTATTTCATCACAGAACCATTTGTTGAAGGAAATTTGTAACCTTCCTAGTTCAGTTTGCAAGATTAAAATTGCATTCCATTGTTCATCTCAAAGCAAGATATGTTGTTGGCAATTTCAGGTTCAATTGAAAATTCAGGAACAAATTCTGCCATCAGCTATTTGAACTACTGTAGTTCATTAAGAATTTAATAATAATAAAAATAAAATGTTTTTCTATTTAAGGTTAATTACAGGGTCACATTCAGAGAGCAACTTTAAAATACTTACCCTCAGTTCATTGTTAGTGAGAGTAAAGGTTTTATTTGAAAAAGTATCCATAATCAAATGATAAGTTATGTTGTTATTAGGAAGAGTTGCATCCTTATCTGTGCATGTTAGAGAGACTAATAGAGTTTCAGATGGGATGTTTTCAGGAAGTTCAATTCTGTAATGAGTAAAACATAGGAAAAAATGTGGTATAACATGTTAATCAAGATTTATGCAGATGATAATATTTAGCATAAAAGATGTTTTAAAATGTGTTCACAGTTTAAATAACCACTTTGCCAATAAGAAAATCATAGTGTTGATAAAGAATTGTATAATAAATTATCTGGCATTCTTGTTGAGGGCAAAGGAAATGAAGTATTATTATGTTGAATAAATAAGCAGCAAATTAGTAAAATATATATATATATATATATATATATATATATATATTATTGAACAAAATGACAATTTGTACCCTGTAGCAGATACCATATCATTGTCTTAATTCTTAAAATAAGGAACTGAGAATTCCTTGCTATTAAATTTACAGGAGGGTGAGCTGGAACTGTTGATTCTGACCAATATTCATATTTCCCTCTGTATGTCCCACTTTCCTTATAGCTCCTGCCCTTGGCTTATATGGAGTCTACTGGCAAGTGAAATGCAAAGGAAGACTGTGCATCAGCTCTAGGTAAGATAGTTACAATTTGGAGTACTTTCCACATGTTCTCCCACCCTTCTGTCCATGTGGTGGGGAGCAAAAGGAAATAACATTGCAAAGCAAAATTACTGAACAAACTGGGATCCCTGAATCAGTGTGGAGGAGTGCCAACAGTATGGCCAACAAGCCTGTGCTGTTCTTCCCATAAGAGACAAGGACATGCTTATTAAATTTAGCCATTGATATGTACGTTTAATTCATTAACAGCAATTAAGTGGAAAATATTGTGATGAGTTCAAATGACTATAATTGTATGTTTTCCTCAGTTGTCAAAAGGTATTATTAATTTAATCATTGAAAATACCTTAGTACTAAAAAATAATGAAATAAAAGATGAATTTTTTAAATTTGTTAACGTGAAGAATGTTCTGGAAACTAAATTTTATAATATTCCTTCAATAAGAATCTATAGGCTACTAGCTGGAATAGAAAGAGAAGGGAAGCCAGGCACAATGGCACAAGCCTGTAATCCTAGCGACTCTGCAGGGTGAGACAGGAAGATCTCAAGTTCAAAGCCAGCCTCAGCAAAAGTGAGATGCTAAGCAACTCAGTGAGACCCCATCTCTAAATAAAAATAGAAAATAGGGCTGGGGATGTGGCTCTGTGGTCAAGTACCCCAGAGTTTAATCCCTGGTATCCTCACCCCCTGCCAAAAAAAAAAAAAAAAAAAAAAGTGAAAGGGAACTACTACAGAGTGTGCAGAAATATTGTTTGTTATTTCAGCCTTTTTTTTTTTTTTTTTTTTTTAGCAAAACAACAGGGACAAAAAGTTTACAAAGTAAAACTTGATTCTTTTTGAACCTTAAATTTATTTTTTACCTGGTACATAAAAACATGAAAATGATACATATTCATGAGTACTGTGTGATGTTTTAATATATGCATACCCTGTGCAATGTTTAAACATATCTGTCACTTCAAACATTTATCATTTTTATGGTGAAAGCTTTTGAAATCCTTTCTTTCAGCTTTTGAAATTCACCGCATGTTACCATTGTCTATAGTCACCCTGTTATGCAATAGCACACCAGTACTTACTAATTTAACTGAAACTTAGTACCTGTCGATCAGGTACTTTCTGTCCTCCCCACTGCTGCACCAGCCTCTAATAGCCACCATTTGACTACTGACTTCTATGAGATCATAAAAGTTGAATCTTGAAGTACAACAGAGCAAAGACACTTTTTTCATATTTGGATTTTTTTTACTGTTTTATTACTATAAAATGATCAAGTACATATTCTGCGTTTTTTTCCACAAAATATTGTTTAAAATAGAAGATAAGTAATTTGAGGGCAAACTACCCCAAACCTTTCATAACATATAAAATATTATTTCTGCTATTAAAGTAAAAATTCTGATGAATCAGGAGCTTCCCTTTCAACACTTGCAGAACTATCTAAATTTTATTGCATGTAGTTGACATTAATCCCATCCTGGTGACCTTTTGATGCTGGAAGCACACATTTCTATGGTTTCCTCAGGTTTTCTATATACGAGTTAATCATTTGTAATCCAAAAATCCAAAATCTGATATCATGTGAGCACTCAAAGAATTTCAGATTTTAGAGCATTTGAGACTTGTTTTTATACATTGTTTTTTGAGAGCAAATAAAAGCAGATCCACTTGTTTCAGTGAGGAAAAAGAAAGAGAAGCTGCATATTATCTGAAAATAAGATGAGGAAAGAATGAAGGGCTTCTGCTTCCACCAGGGATGGCATGATGGTTACTCTTTATTTCTTTCTTTTATCTTTGACAAAATCCGAAGCTCACATAATTGCTCCTGTAACTTACATGTAAATATCCTGTGAGCACTGAGGTGGATTGTCATTCACATCTTGTAGTATCACTGTGAGTGACCCAGTTGTTGAATGCATCCGTTTGTTGTCATAAGCTCTAATATATAATACCCAAGACTTTGGGGTGGCTACATCCTCATAATCCAAAGGACAGGCAATTGTGATCTCTCCTGAATCTAAAAGGCAAGCAAATGAAAATGTATTCAGCATTCACAAGATGAATAATTTATGATTTAAAATAATGGCATGGATAAAATAGTTCTAGGAACAAAATAAAGGTCAGTTGTTGACCTGTTGTAGCTCCCAAGTGAGTTACATACAACTTTGGATTTCTGAAGAATGGGAGTCAGGTAAGTGACAGGGGAAGAGAGAAGCCTCCTGAGCTGTGTAGATCAGATGGTATTTTGCGGGAGGGTTGTGAGGAGTACACTGTGAAGCTTAGGCTGAGAGTGGAAAAATGAGCACAGAAATCGGAGAGTAGATTGGGGTGGCTTGGATGTGGCTAAGTGGATGTGTGTGAAACTGTGGATAGTACACTGAGAAAAAGAACAAAAAGAAAAATTGATATTAATTAGGAACTGTTTTTTAAATCATTTTTATTGTATCTACATTTTCAGAGCATGTAACATGTACAATACACTGTCTCCTTTATAAACTGTGTTTTTTTATGCTAAATGTAAACACATACTTGATGCTTGATGTCATTTCTTACATTGATAGCTCTCCAAGCATTTTGGTTGTCTAGAGTACATTACCTAATGAATTCTTGAGGAAAAACTATAGGCATAATATTTCTTTATTGCTTTCACCTTCTGAAAATTTTATCTGCTGTCTTTATCTGTGAAATCATTTTGCTGGATATAAATTTTCAACTCTCATTTTGTGTTTTCATGTTTCCTAAGTATGTTACTTCATTAATTGATGGAAAAAATATTGTAAAAAAGTTTGTTTACAGTATGATTATCATTCTCTTATAAGTGACTTAGTCTTTTTGCCTAAAGACTCAAACACTTTTCTAAGTTAACATCTAATAATATACTGGAATGTGTTTTGAATTTAGTCATTCTGGGTTGATTTTCCCAAGAACCTCACATTTCTCGTAATATGCAGCTTCAAATCTCTTATTATAGGAAATGTATTCTTTTCCCCTGTTTTCTTAAAGTTGCAGTATAATTACACATAATAGTGAGATCTGTTGCTACATATTCATATATGCACAAAAGATAACAATATTTGGTCAAAGTCATTCCCCAGTATTTCCCCTTTTCCTCCCCTTCTTCCTTGCTCAGTCCCCTTTATTATACTGATCTTTTTTCTTGCTTTTTTTTTCTTTATCCTCTCTAGCTTCCACATATGAGAGAAAACACAGGACTTTTGACCTTCTGAGTTGGCTTATTTCCCTTAACATAATGTTCTCAAGTTTTATGTACTTTCCTGCAAATTACATAATTTCCATTATTTTATGGCTGAATAAAACTCCATTATTGTAAATATGTCACATTTTCTTTTTTAAAAATTTTTGGTTCATGTAGAATTTTATTTATTATTATTATTTTTTAAAGGAGAATGGGAGAAAAGTTTATTAGGTTTACTACTCAAAATAGTAAATATCATGAATATGAGAAATTAAGTTTAATTAAATATCTTACTCCCTCCTGTATGCAAAGTAAATGAATGATTATTACATAGATTTTTTCACATTTCTTTGATAAAGCTTTTCTGAATGTTATTCTTGGCCCTCAGGCATAGGCTTTTGATCTGGTTAAAAGTTTTATGACAGTTATGAAACAAAAATTGAAAGAAAGACACATAAATTTCTTCCTTAAAGAGTCATTTTTTTAAAAAAAAATAATAGATTTTTGTACTACTTATATCAAATTTTTAATTTGTTCTATCTTACCATTATAATTAATCTTCATATAAGAAAATGAAAACCTAGGTGCTTTCCATAGTTAATTTAAAATTTTAAAAACTGATACACTGATAGAAGAACAATTTCAAAATTCATAGCCATGAAAACCTACTTTATCCATTTATCCATTGACGGACACCTAGTTTGGCTTCATAATTTGGCTATTGCAAAGTGTGCTAATATAAATATGAGTATACATGTATTATTATAGTGTGATGATTTAAATCCTTTAGACCAAAAATTGTTATAGCTGGGTCTTTTGGTGGTTCCATGCTGAGTTTTAAGGAACTTCTATATCGATTTCCATAGTTGTTGTGCTAATTTACAGCCTACCAACAGTGCAAAAGTGTTCCTTTTTCCCGCCTCCTCTCTAGCATTTATTATTATTTCTATTCTTGATGACTGCCATTCTGATTGGAGTGAGATGAAATTTCGGTATAGTCTAGGAATGTATTCTTGAATGACACTTTTATTTCTTGGGTCGGTTGCTTTGTTTGCTTCCTCAGGAATTTGTAGAATATGATTTAAAGTGTTGGCTTTTCTCTGCCTATCATCAACAGCTATAATTTTTTTTCATTTTTATTTTAAATATAATATAATATTTTAAATAAAAATAAACCTGTGTAGAAGGCTTTTGTTCCAGAATAATCTGAGAGTAAGTTGCTAACATAATGCCTCATCTTCTGAAAATTTGATGTACATTTCCCAAAATATACATGATACAAGCATCAAAATCAGGAAGTTAATATCAATACATTTAATACTGAGAGTCTCATTCAAATTTCACTGATTGTCTCTATTTTTTAATAAAAAGAAGATCCAGTTCATATTGTCATGTGTTGTTAGTCAGTTTCAACTTTTTCAACTAAAAAAAGTTGTTAAATCTTCCCTTGAGTTTTACCACCTTAACCCTTTGAAAGATTTTTTTTTTAATTTTTTTATTGTTGGTTGTTCAAAACATTACATAGTTCTTTTTCTTAAAATTTTTTATTGTTGGTTGTTCAAAACATTACATAGTTCTTGATATATCATATTTCACACTTTGATTCAAGTGGGTTATGAACTCCCATTT